GACTTTCTGCCACCTTCTTGCCCCAATACCCATACACAGACCCTAGGTAGTTGCAATAACAGCCTCTGTATTTTACAGGCAGTCCTAGGGAAATCCTCCAGGCTATATACCATGCAGCTTCTGGCCAGTCTTGTAACAGAGTTTGTTGTGCTGGACAGTCCATCTTTTTGTTTTCAGCTATAATCACGTACTGGATATTTAACTGCTATTCAGCCTCAGTGGTGCTTACCAAAATCATCGATTTATAGTGAACGTATGATGTGAATACATCAAATATCTGCTTGATGAAAGTTAAAGCAACCTCATACTATTACCGGTGGCAAAAAGTTTGTCCTGAGTTTGGACGTGATGTCAAGATTAGGATGAAGTACGCTAGAGAGAGGTGAGCGGGAGGAAGGGCCCATGTGAGAAGAGTGCTGTAGTCATTCTTCAGCCCCTGATCAAAGTATAGCCAGCACTTCTCCTAGTATAAGGTCTCAAGCTGCCTACTTAAATCGTGTTGTCAGGGCCCAGCTCACCACCCTGCATCGAGCATCTGTTCCCTGACTAGCAGGATACTGCTTGCCTGAACCTTAGCTGTAAGCTCTAAGTCAGCCATGCTTCCTCGCCGCACATGCTGCTGTAAGCAATGCTGGTCCTCGTGTCAGCTCAGCATTCCTTCCAGACCCACTGCTTTGCTCATCCACATAGAATCATAGAATCATAGAATTGTTTAGGTTGGTAAAGACCCTTAAGATCGTCAAGTCCAACTGTTAACCTAACCCTGCCATCCCACCACTAAACCATGTCCCTAAGCATCTCGTCTACCTGTCTTTTAAACACCTCCAGGGATGGGGACTCCACCACTTCCCTGGGCACATCCAGCAGTCTGATTCACACAGCAGCATCACCCCAGGTTTCGCTGTTGTCTAGCTACCCATCTTCATGCTCTTGCACAGACAGACTTTTGTAGGCAGCTGCACCCAGGTCTTACCCTACCTTCTTTGACTCCTGTCACCTGGCATGGCAAACTGGGGATGAGCACTTGGGAGCTGAAGGGCTCTTAGGACTAATCTAAAGACTGAAGGCTTGCAAGAGTTTCTAGTTTATAGCAAAGGCTACCATTAGGGTTAGCTCCTGGTCTGGCAGAGTCCCACTGGGAAGCATCAGGACTGGCATATCTATAGGAGGACTGCTTATAGAAGAGGACATTCCTGTCTACTACCAGCTCCAGGGCTAGAAGAGATGATGGACTGGATGGAGTTCAACACTTTTAGAGGCCCATGAGCTTTGAGTTAAGGGGGGGCTGGAGGTTTTGTACCAATAGGAGCTCCTTAGTGACATTTGTGGGGATGAATAGGGATGGCAAGGGTCTTGGGAAGGCTCGGGCAGCTGATGAGGCAGATGTTGGATTGGAGTGGTGCTGCTCCTGGTTTAACACTGGAGCATTGCTTTTACTTTTGGATATTGTTATTCCTCTTCAAATCCTTGAAAAGGGTTTCAGGGAGGAACAGACCAGCATGTGAAGAGAACATAAAATAAAGAACAAAACAGGCAGAAAGAATATGGATGGATTTACTCAAACAGGTAAAAGGAAACACAGTAATTTACCAAACAAAATGGAATGATTAATGTGACATTAACTGGTATCTGGCTTTTTCCTTTATAAAATAAAGGAGGAATAATAGCCTGGGGACATCTAGCATTTCAGAGATGCTACCATTCTGGAGTAATCACTTCAAGCATGAGAAAGTTTTCTGACCTTACCTTTTGCTGTTTTCTACAGTTTGGATGAAAGTGTCTTTTCAGAAAATATATACATGTACATATGTGATTTTACTATTGTTATTTCTTTATATAAAAAGCTGAAAAGTACCTTTGGAAACTTCATTCTTGCACCTTTAATGTCAAAATTTGTTGCAACTGTTTCTGTAAAAGATAGATAATTATAATGTAAACAGTTATTTAATCATAAAGCCATCAGTCAAACTTCCTAAATAAAAAAAAGCAATATGGCACATCTCTCAGCAGCAGTGCCAATGCCACTTACTCTTCCAGTGATGACCCCCCCACCTCTTCTTTCTCCCAGAGCTCTGCCTATTTGTCTAAAGCACGTTAGAAAACAGAAATTAACCATAATGCTCCCACAACATCTCCTACAGAGCCATCCTACTGTGGTAACTCTAGTAATTTAACTTGTAATAGTAGTTCAGCTGAATGATAACCAAAAAAGGCTGATATTAATTTTTAAAGAAAGGAAAACATGGATTGAGTATTTTGACCTCCTTACAGGTCTTTTCAGCCTTTAGTCTGACATCCTGCCTGAATTCTCTGGATCTGAGCCTGTGTCATGTTAATGTTGGGGAGCCCCCTACAACAGGGTTGGCCCTCCTCTAATAAAAAAACCATTATACATGGGTGTAGAGAATCTCTTTAAAAACCCATCCAGACACTTATCTAAATAAACTGTGTTGTGGATATTAGTAGTCCCCCTAGCTCCTCTCAGGTCTTCTGTACAGTGCAGTCAAATGTAGTCTTTCCATGCCATTTTAGAGATGTTAACAATGCAAGTGTCACGAGATATTAGTAATCCTAATTTCTAGAGATGGAAACTGCACTACAAGGATGTTAAAGCATAGAATTTGGAAATTCTCTGTTTTAGTAGGGTTCTGGCACTGGGGAACTGTCTACTCTGAAGTCTGCTGCCTGCCAAGAAAGGTGAATCGGTCTAGGGTGTGGAGAGAAAAACCTGGATGATCAATTAGTCTTTTAAGAAATCTGCTTAGTGGTGAAAAAGGGCTGGCGGGATATGGCCCCGTTGTGGAGGCAACCTGCCAGGCAAGGGAAAGGCATTGTATATTTTCCACATCAACCTCCTTTCAGCTTTCCACACACTGAGTATTCGTCGTCGATTCCGCTGCAGAGGCGTTCTTTCCAGTGTAACGCTCTGGCACCGTTGTACCAGACGTTGAAGACGACTTTCAAAAAGGTGACGTCACTTCCTAGTTAAGACATTGCAGGTAAGAAAAAGGTAACCAGTGGGGAGGAAAAACACACAGGCAGGCATGCTATTCAGATAAAAACTAGTTTTCTCTGAAATACAGTATTTTTTAAAGAGTTCCTCCAAAATGAACAAAAAATGTTACATATCTTGCAAACTCTTATTTCCAGAAAAACAAAAAGCTGGTTTCCAATAAAAAACATCAGTCATCTTAAAAAATATTTGAGTGAACCATTTCAAAATCTGTTTTAATTTCTTCAGCATGGATAAGGAAGTTCACTCACCTTCACAGGTAAACCAAATAAATGCTCAGATCAGGACTCTAGTTTTAAGCAGGTATGGCATATAAACCGTCCTGAATGCTGGTAGCCATCATAAAGACATCTTTCTAGGGAAGCAAACTTACCCCTGCTCCGGAGTTTTTACACAGAAGGTGAAGTTTATCATACAGGCATTTCCTAAGTAATTCAGCTTGCCAGTTTAGAGCTGGGTTTAAAGATTAGTTTAAAGTTGGGTTTGCATACACAGTCCAGTACCATATCCAGCTTCTGGAACACGCACATTTTTTGTAGAAGCCCTGCCACACTTGGACAGCCTAATGATATTCTCTGTCCTTAAGAAGACTTGGATCTTCTTCGGGCCAGAAGAGCTTGTGTGCTGCAAAAGCTTGTCTGCTTCCTCCAGACAAATGCACGTGCACCTAAGCAGTCTCAGATTTGCATGTACAGTACCAGTTAGCGTGCAGAGCTCTGGGAACTGCTCCAACAAGTAAAATTCAAGCACACTTATTTTCACAAATCATCATTTCTGTCCATTATTATCGTTTACCTATTGCATTTTTAATCACAGAAACTGATCTCCTAAATAATTTGACATTTAGGATGAAGCGTCAGCTTTTCACTTGTATTCTTTTTTTTTTTTTTTTTGCATTTGTAGAATATAATTCTCTAGTCAAGAGGGACTCACTTGGAATCCAGGTAAGAGCAGCCTTCCAGACAGATTTGTCCATCATGCTGCAAGGTGTCAGATTAAACATGAAAGCATGAGCTGTAGAATCTACAGGACAAAAAAGTATTTCATATTGTTAGTGTGAATAGGCTTCTCCAGTAAAATAATAAAAATATATATATATACACTTACAATAAACACATAGACATTTAAAAATGTATTTAATATAAGGTATATACTATAAAATAGTGTAAAAAATATCCATAGTAAACATTAAATATGTATTTTAAATGTTAATTATGTTTATTTATATGCTTAAAAGGTAAAAATAATATCATATTACTTTGAGATTAAGTAGTAAGAAAAGTCAATTGTTGGGTTGATGATATTTTGCACACAAAACTCAGAGGCAAAAGTACCTTTATATCTCTTTTGAAGTTACACAAACTTTTTATTAGCATTAAGCCAGCATGGTCCTCTGCTGAAAATATCCCTACTTATGCTAACCATGGAATCTATATAAGCTAAATATGTTTTTAATGTACCAGCGTATTTTCCAGGATAATGTAAATGAGCCTTTGAGTAGATTTGCTTTGTACTCACCTGACATTGTACAACACACAACGTCAGATACAGTGTGACAAAGCATCATGTAACCTGTATCTAATCAAATTTAGACCCCATTATCTGACCTTCAATTTTTAAAACATCCTTCAGCGACAGCCTTTGGAAGGATTTCCAGTCAGTATCTTTATTTTTGTTTTAGGAAATAAGTCTGTTTGATTCAGCTTGCTTCTGCCCTCCCCAGTGTGCTCATGCTGAAGAAGTGCCCCGTTTGCCACCAGCCTGGGGGGCAGGGTGGAGAAGGGGTGCTCCCCATCCTGACCCTGGCGGGAGCGAGGGGTTCAGTCTTGTGTTTTGGGGATTAAAGTGAGGGGCGTGCATAGGGAAACTGTCTGTCTGTTGGCAAACAGCAGTCAGCTTCTCATCTCCGGTACAACTACACATGGGAAACTGCAACAGGAAAAAGGGCAAACAAAACTCGCCATGGTCTCAGAGGTTTGTGTATTGCATATAAACCATCCTGAATGCTGGTAGCCATCATAAAGACATCTTTCTAGGGAAGCAAACTTACCCCTGCTCCGGAGTTTTTACACAGAAGGTGAAGTTTATCATACAGGCATTTCCTAAGTAATTCAGCTTGCCAGTTTAGAGCTGGGTTTAAAGATTAGTTTAAAGTTGGGTTTGCATAAACCGTCTTTAAAGATTAGTTTAAAGTTGGGTTTGCATACACAGTCCAGTACCATATCCAGCTTCTGGAACACGCACATTTTTTGTAGAAGCCCTGCCACACTTGGACAGCCTAATGATATTCTCTGTCCTTAAGAAGACTTGGATCTTCTTCGGGCCAGAAGAGCTTGTGTGCTGCAAAAGCTTGTCTGCTTCCTCCAGACAAATGCACGTGCACCTAAGCAGTCTCAGATTTGCATGTACAGTACCAGTTAGCGTGCAGAGCTCTGGGAACTGCTCCAACAAGTAAAATTCAAGCACACTTATTTTCACAAATCATCATTTCTGTCCATTATTATCGTTTACCTATTGCATTTTTAATCACAGAAACTGATCTCCTAAATAATTTGACATTTAGGATGAAGCGTCAGCTTTTCACTTGTATTCTTTTTTTTTTTTTTTTTGCATTTGTAGAATATAATTCTCTAGTCAAGAGGGACTCACTTGGAATCCAGGTAAGAGCAGCCTTCCAGACAGATTTGTCCATCATGCTGCAAGGTGTCAGATTAAACATGAAAGCATGAGCTGTAGAATCTACAGGACAAAAAAGTATTTCATATTGTTAGTGTGAATAGGCTTCTCCAGTAAAATAATAAAAATATATATATATACACTTACAATAAACACATAGACATTTAAAAATGTATTTAATATAAGGTATATACTATAAAATAGTGTAAAAAATATCCATAGTAAACATTAAATATGTATTTAAAATGTTAATTATGTTTATATGCTTAAAAGGCAAAAATAATATCATATTACTTTGAGATTAAGTAGTAAATGTTAATTATGTTTATTTATATGCTTAAAAGGTAAAAATAATATCATATTACTTTGAGATTAAGTAGTAAGAAAAGTCAATTGTTGGGTTGATGATATTTTGCACACAAAACTCAGAGGCAAAAGTACCTTTATATCTCTTTTGAAGTTACACAAACTTTTTATTAGCATTAAGCCAGCATGGTCCTCTGCTGAAAATATCCCTACTTATGCTAACCATGGAATCTATATAAGCTAAATATGTTTTTAATGTACCAGCGTATTTTCCAGGATAATGTAAATGAGCCTTTGAGTAGATTTGCTTTGTACTCACCTGACATTGTACAACACACAACGTCAGATACAGTGTGACAAAGCATCATGTAACCTGTATCTAATCAAATTTAGACCCCATTATCTGACCTTCAATTTTTAAAACATCCTTCAGCGACAGCCTTTGGAAGGATTTCCAGTCAGTATTTTTATTTTTGTTTTAGGAAATAAGTCTGTTTGATTCAGCTTGCTTCTGCCCTCCCCAGTGTGCTCATGCTGAAGAAGTGCCCCGTTTGCCACCAGCCTGGGGGGCAGGGTGGAGAAGGGGTGCTCCCCGTCCTGACCCTGGCGGGAGCAAGGGGTTCAGTCTTGTGTTTTGGGGACTAAAGCGAGGGGTGTGCATAGGGAAACTGTCTGTCTGTTGGCAAACAGCAGTCAGCTTCTCATCTCCGGTACAACTACACATGGGAAACTGCAACAGGAAAAAGGGCAAACAAAACTCGCCATGGTCTCAGAGGTTTGTTTTGCAAGCTTAAGTACCACCACTTTTACACTTGTTAAATTTTACCACGAGTATTCATGTAAAGCAAAGAACCCAAAATAAACATCCCCTCTTCTGCTTCAGTTTATATAGCTATTTTACAGGTGATACACACTAGGACTGCACACAGATTTTCAAAAGACCTGGTCTTTTCCTTATGAAATATCTCTGCAAAAGCCCACCTTCTTGCCACCGAGTCCGCAGGGGCACACTGAGCCTGTTTGGCTCACGGACATCAGGGAGGTGCCAAGCTGTTGCAGAACCAACTAAAAACCTCAGTGAACTACACAGATCCAGTGGCCTGCGACATAGACACGGCAAGAAGGGACACACCATGTTGTCCCAGAGCCTAACTGATCCTCCAGCCTGGTAGAATATCACATTGCCCCCCCCTTTTTTTTTTCATATACCTAAAGCTTTTAATTGTAATACATTGGTTAAATCAATGTGGGTGATTTATACAATACAGCAGTTCAAAACTAGTTTAAATCCCTTATCTTCTAGTATTTCCTGAACCAAAACATGCCTGCTTTACTTGGGATAAACTTCTGTCTTAGCTGCTGCAACCAGCATTGTGGTAATATTTACACCTATGCAGTATAAATCTTGTAACAGGGTAATTAATAACAGAATTATACTCCAGCTGAACTAATTTATATTTTTCTGTATTCATCAAAGAAACACATTTGAAAGAAAAAGTTCACATTTCCTCAGACTACAGCAATTACTGTGCAAATCCCATTAAGAAAAGAAAGATATTTTTTACTTACCACAAAAAGTATACGACATTTCTAGATCTGGTGACATACAAAGAAATTCACTGACTCCAGGGGTGAATAAAATGAAAAAAAGAAGTCCAAACATAGTTACTTGTTTTGCTCAGTATCTGATGAAATAAAACTTTGTTTTGGGGAAAGAGGAACAAAAATTCAGCACAGTCATCCTCAGTCACATGTCTTCAGGGAATACCCGTCTATTTTGTCAAATTCTCTGCAATCTTCGTCAATCCTATGGCAGCCCTATCAGTTACCATCACAATAAATTTTGTGAAGAAAAAGAATTTCTGCCTTTGTCATTACATTTTCCCCAGACAACGCGGCTCAAGCCACGAGTGAAAAATGAAAGAGAAAACTGGCTGAAATAGGGAAGTGAGGAGAAGTAAAACTATGATTACCAGAAGCACGTAAAGGGCAAGTTTAGTTGACTCATCAGACATAATATTTGTTAAGGCATGACTTCAAACACTCACAGAGTTTCCTGTACGTAATAAAGAAGAGAAAAATCCACGAATGAGGAAAACCACACCCACCCTTTTATTGATAAGATAGTCTATAACAGAAGTTTTCAGAGTCAATTTCTGACAAAGCTCATGGTGCTTTAAGAACACGTCGGCACTCCGGAGGAGTGATGAATTTCCAAATGGAGGTAAGGGTGGGAGCTGAACGCAACCATCTGACGTTATTGAGTAGAGCCACTGAAGTCCTGCACTATCTCAGCTACCGTCTTCAAAGCTCTATGACAGTTATACTTCTTAATGAAAAAAATCTTAAAAATCCATAAAATTACAACCGATGAGTCCCATGCCCTCCTCTTGGCCTCCCTCTGTGACCTTACCCCGTGCTCTTCCCCGCAGCCTCTGCTGGAGAAGGTGCACTGCACAACGTGCCCCCGAGCACGGAGCCCAGCCGCCGACTGCTGCGCCAGCGCAGTGCACAGGCACGGGTCCAGGCGGACACCGACCATGAGACAATTAATAACAAAAGCTGTCAAATTTTGACTGAGATGTCTCCATAAGAATACAGGATCTACCTGTCACAACTGAAGGTAGGTTAGGAGCACGATTTTAACTTAGGATGTTGAAAACAGTCTAGGTTGCAGATTTTGGTACTCAAGTTTGAAACACTAAAAAAAAATAAAAATCTCTTAAAGCACTTTTGGTATTAGATATATCCCCTTATTTCTGTCTGATAGTGCAACACACAAAGGATAACATATTTTGCCTGTATCTGCTGTATCAGTTTTGAGGACTAAACTGGGTCAGCTTTTACTGCACAAACCCAGCAATATTGCTTATCCCAGCTACAGAAACAGATGAAAAAAAGTCTAGTAACTCATTCAAGAGACTGCAACCACCATCTAACTGTCAGGAAATGCAATTATATTTTTTTTGAATATAGTAAAATATGGAAGCTTATTGGAGTTATGAAGAATGACTTATGGAACTTAATCAGATTATTTTCTCATGAGTTACCTACCTGATTTGTACATATGTCTGCAGGCTCCTCTTAGATCAGAAATTGTATTTGCTATGAAAAATAAGCACTATACACAATAGACAGGTATTTGGCTTTGTGCTAAACAGAAAAACCCAAAATAACTTACAACAAATATAACTTAATCGATTGTTCTGATTCTCCCCACTCCCCATCACAGTGTCTAAAAGCTTTTATTCTCATAAATTCTGTGCACGCCAGGGTAATATTTTACATATTTTAAAGATAAAGTAGCAAAAGATTAAGAAATTGATTTTCAGAAGTCCAAACATGTAACACAAAAGATAACTTAGCAACAGCAACATGAACAATAACTTGACTGATTGTGCCCAGAAGAGTGAGAATTCTATTAAAACTACCTAAAAGTACCAACTAATGAGTTAATGCATGTAATAATTCACAAAGTAAAATAAAAATTTGAAAATTGAATACGTCTAGAGAATTCTCTTCAGTATTTCCCAATCTTTCTACAGACCACAAGAAGAGTCCCACCAGCCTGACAGAGTTCAAGACTGAAAGAAATTTCTAACATTTGGCTTTTAACTGGGAATTCAAAATTATACAACTTTCCTGACAGGCCTCCAGAGTGCGTACATCAGGCACAGATTTTTCCTGTTGTTTAATAGGATACTATAAAACATACATACCCCTTGTGATCATAGCAATAATATAGTTCTGTTTCAGAACAGCTGAATTTTGCTTAAAATAGTAAAATATGTAGTGACATAGAAAGAAATCAGGAAGGCTGTAGTAGCTGGAAAAAGAAATGGAGTAATGAAGCAGCCACTAAAGAATAGCTACCTTGTACATGTACCGTCACCGTGTCCAAAAAAGGTTCCTCTCAACCACAGAGCCACGGCCACCGATGTCGAGCAAGCCTAATCAGTGAGAAGCCAAGCCAGGCGCTCTGCTGAGTCTTCTGTCGGTCCCATAGAGTTAGCAAAAGTCACAGTTTGAAGTAGGCATGGGATGGCACTGACTGTACCCTATTGACACAGAGGATTCCCCAGCTGGAAGCATGTCCCTCTGTGGCTGGACTTGTCCTTGCTTTGCTGCGCAGCACGTTGGGTGGCTGATGTACTCATAGGCAGACTGGAAAGAGTGCCGCAGACTCACTAGATTTTATATAAAAGTTCTTATAACATAAATGAAGACAAGCTCTCTGCTGAACTCCCTGCCTTTCTAGACCTGGTTCAAGAATAGGCATTTTTTTCACATAACTTGCTGCAGTAAACGATATAGATGAGGAATGAGTCCCCCCTGGTGGCTTAGACAGACAGACATATGGGGAAACCTGTCCTCTCCTGTTCCTTCTTGCACTTTTCTTGCACAAGACTGTTCCAATGCTTTAAAAAATCAGTGTAACTAGGCTCCATTTTAAAAAGATCTGGCTGGTTAATGGGAAAATAGGAACAAAAATGCTACTGGTATCAGGACTAAAATATCACTTATGACCATGATTATAAAGTCTACAACCTTGACCATTGCATGTGGTCAAATTGTCTTTAAATCAAAATAACCTCAATAATTTTAAAGTCTTTTCAGCAGATTCAGTTTTAGACTCGTGTCTTCCAATGCCTGTATCGATGCCATTCATACAGGTGACGTCTTGCAATGCCCACTGAAGCCCCAAACTAGTGCACCAGAGGTGTGAGGAGTCTGCTCTGTCCCTTTCGAGTCAGTATGAAGGGCACTGGAGAGGGAGGACATAAACTTTTATATATTTTACTTTTACTAATTACTCTTTCTTTACTACAATCTTTTTCTTACACACTCTGATCCAGAAGGAAGTTGAAAAGGAGAGAAAAGTGGACAGAGCTACACAATAGTGTTACTTCACTAGAGTTTTCTGACAATTTACTACATTTAGTTTGAAATCCTTTGCAACTACATTTAGTAGGGACCAACTCTCATATCCAGTTAACAGTATATAAAATAAATCCAAGTCTAGAGAATTTAGGACTTTATACCTATGACTTTTCATTTTATCTACATCTGAGATGGTAAGAGTAGAAGTTTAACTCCAAGCTTCCTCACTGATTTGTGGTTAAAATTCTTTACCTAATTCATTATATTTTTATCTTCTTTCTCAAGATATCTAAAAAGTGCTTAACTTACTTGTGATTGCTTTCCAAAATAATCACTTTGTATTTGGATTGTTGGCTGCAGATGACTAGTTTGACCAGATAAGTACTTACAAGTCACTGAAATCTCCCTCATGAAAGATTTATAATACACATTATCATAATATGCATCTCAGAAAAATAAATAAAAGTATACCAGTACAGCAGAGGAAAGTACTCTGTTTCAAAGTGTTAGTCAGGCAGAATTAAAAATTATGTCCTAGTTCTTGCCATGTACCAAAACTTCATGTTAATGGAAAACTCTTTTAAGCTGTTAACCACATTTATTCAATAAAGAAAGAGGCAATCATAATTTATTTTTCCTTGCAGGACCATTTGTGACAGTTTCTGAAGTAGATCTTTTTGCAGCTGGAAGCAGACACGTTTATTACTTCTGATCCTGTGTTTAGGGTTGCTGCTGAAGACACTCTGATATAAAGGGGCTATATATAAGGCATAAAGTGTGTATTCATAAAACAAAACCACAGTTGGAAATCAACATAAAAAGTAGAAAATTGTAGCAACTCATGAGCATAACTCTCTTCTCAAATCCTCTCATCCTATCTTTGACAACACTGATAGTGGAAGTAGCAAGTCAAGCCCAGGGATACCACAGAGAGGTAGAGGATTTGGCTCCTCTACCTGCAGCTGATGAAGTACTTGAGGGTGCCAGGGGAGTCTGACCCAAGAGCAGTGCACCAGCACATATCCAGTGGTGAGCTGGTAGCATTGGAGTAAGAAAGCACATAGCTGTGGAAAGAAAGAAAAAGTGATGTGCGTTTTTCTGAATACATTTTTTTAAATGCTGTCTGCAGTTTGGCTTGGTGGTTTGATTTGAATATAACACATTAAACCATTGGAGGCTATTAAAGTGAAGCAAATACACACCAGGTGGTATCCTGTGGAAACAGTTATGTTGGAAATTACTCTCTCTCTGTTGCCAGTAGGCTTATGGTTTATTCTTTCCAACCCAAGTTTAAGATTAAAGCTTGTGGTTATACTCTGAAGTGTATGTTAAACCATTAAAGTTGTCAAGAAGAAGAGAAAGCAGGGGGTGAAGGGAGAAGAAAGGGCTGTCCCCTACCTGAGGCCGGCAGAAAGCACCCCACAGCAACACTGTCCACCCTGGTATTCCAGAAATGGAGACAGCTGGACATGTTTTGCAGCCATTTGTTCTTGTTCTCTGTTCTCCCCTGCTTAAAATAGCTGCTCACTGAGGTCTGTAGAGCCGTGGGATAATCTTATTATAGTGGATCCAACTCCTAGCTAGCACGCTTGCCCCATTTCTCAGGGGGGTTGCAGCAGGCTGCGCTGTACATGGGGGCATGAAGAAATTCGTGGTATGACCACAGAACTCCAGGGCAACCGAACTGCAGCAGCTTACCAAGTTTCCACCTATTAAGTTGTACTGAGCAATTGTAATAATTCACATGTGTGCTCTTAATTTTTACAGCATAAACAGAATTTCATGAAGTTTCCATCACCTAAATTAGGCTCTCACAGTACTGTGCAAAAATCTACCCAGATTTTCTTCATCTTTGCCAATGTGATGACTTTGGTTTGTAATAAAACAAGCTCCAGTGAAATTAGTTACCTTTTGATTCTAGAGAGTGTGGTTAAGAGCATGAAGTACCTCAGAGCTTTAAAGATTTCACTTTAAAGTATCAGAAGGGGATAATTTTCTCATCAGATTTTTCTACATTTGCAAGGAAAGGCTGAGGGTTGTGGGGTAATTTGATTTGAAAAATAACATTAAAGAGTGACAAGGTGTATTGTACTTTATAATTAAGAACAGACAGGGACTAATGAATAATATTATGGACAAAGCAAAGAACTTGAGAAAAAGGGAGAGGGACACCAGCAAGAAAATAGCATACAGGCAAAGAATGGAAAGAAAAATTTGCATGTATCCTGTCTGTTTTCCTAGGGAAAAAAAGCAGTCATCTATAACCTTTTGTGGAAGCTCTTAAGGCTGGAAATGGAGAGGAAGCAAGTGCCTAGGAAAGAGGCTTGAGTCATTTCACGTGTTCCTGCTCTTCACACCAGATCGAGTGAAACTGGTACCAGGGTAAGATGCGAGACCCAGCTGCTGGGGACAAGCGATTGGTTGGTACCGGAAAGGCTGCAGGAGCTGGCAGACTTCACAGTAGGTGTAGCCTTGCAAATAACACAGCTTGTAAGTCACATATTTTAGAAGACTGGGCTTGTACATCAGTACGCCCTTCATTATCTCCACGTGCATGAGTACGTTCTCTAGGTCTTATAAATCAATTGTTTCCTCCACGTCATAGCACAAGTTGCCCACACCCAAATAAACATCAGCAGCTTCCAAGGATGAAAATGTTAGCAGGTAGTAATACTTCTGCAGTTAGAACTGTTTTTCACCAGGTGTATAAAACTGAAGAAAAATAAACTAGAAGGAAATAGTAGTTCACAAAATTAATAGGATTGTGAAGGATGTGGAGCTGTGATAACCAGGCTTTGGGAATTACTTGGTACCGATCTGTTTATTGAAACACTCACGCTACAGTCAATTCTCTTGCAGGATTTGTTAGCAGCAAGAGGGCCTGGTTTTGGTTTATGCACATTTCCTAGCTTAGAAGGAGACCAAGCATTTCAGAGTTTCCCACTTGGAAATGCACTCAGTGCGCTATGAAATATCTGTAGTAAGACAGACTGTTCAGAACCCAAAGTAAAACAGAAAAGCACCTAGAAGTCTTTTTGGATTACATTTCCACTCCTTTATTTTGTTTCAAATGTGAAGAACAAACTACAGTTTTTTGAATACTAGTCTCTACTGCTCTCAACAACTTCCAGGAATGTAAACCATTCACATATGTGCAAATATACTCGAATGCTGTGTTCGGTTTTGGGCCCCTCACTACAAGAAGGACATTGAGGTGCTGGAGCATGTCCAGAGGAGACCAACCAAGCTGGTAAGGGGTCTGAAGCACAAGTCTTAGGAGGAGTGGCTGAGGGAACTGGGGTTGTTTAGCCTGGAGGAGGCTGAGGGGAGACCTTATCGCCCTCTACAACTGCCTGAAAGGAGGCTGCAGTGAGGCGGGTGTTGGTCTCTTCTCCCTCGTAACGGGCGATAGGACGAGAAGAAATGGCCTCAAGTTGTGCCAAGGGAGGTTTAGATTGCGTATTAGGAACAACTTCATGGAACGGGCTGCCCAGGGAAGTGGTTGAGTCCCCATGCCTGGAGGTATTTAAAAGACGGGTAGGCGTGGTGCTTAGGGACACGGTTTAGTGGTGGAATGGCAGTGTTAGGTTGATGGTTGGACTTGATGATCTTAAAGATCTTTTCCAACCTAAACGCTTCTGTGATTCTGAAGTACACGCTGTAGGTAAAAATTGCAAAAAAGCCAAATCTAAGAATCCTGGGATTATACACAAGGACAGGCAGAGGAGGAAATGCTAACAGGGATGGGGCCAAACCCATACTTACTTGGTAACCATAACAAATATTATGATTGTAAGATTTATGACTTGGTTGTTTCCCAAACTCAGTTTGCCAAGTTAGCAGCAAACAAGGTAGAAGCAGGTAGAATATTGTGCATCTCAGTAAGTTTGGTCTTCACTTTCCTTAATATTAAAGTACTATTAAAAGAAAGCTATGGAATTTCCAAGTTGCACATTGGAAGTATAAAATACTTTTCTGAGACTACATCATGGCCAGAATCATCATCTATGTTCTGGTAGAAATAGATTTTTAATTATTTTTTTTTAAATCATCTATGTGTCAGAAAACCACCCACTAGCTTAACTTGCATTTCACTGCCAGATGACAAACAGATAGAACAAATAACGTTTAACTTGCATACTTTTTTTGAGAAACATAGCCACTGATGGAAATCTCTTACTGTTGCTGCTTGCATCTGAATTTGCCAAATTCAACAGTGAAAATTTTCTGCAGACAAAAGAAAAGGCTGAGGATTTTGATATTGCTCAAGGGGTACATAAACATAAGTTTGGGGCCTTTCCTTTACCTTCTCTTGCAAACTCTATTTCGTGTTCTCCCTGGTTTTAGCTTTTAAAGATGAAGCTAACTTTATCTGCAGGCACAAGAGACTGAATGCATCAGACACTGAAAGAATGGAAAGATTATTTTTAATTAGGTGTAAAACATCATTTCAATAAGGGCAAGTAGTACAACCAGGTGGTCAGAATTGCTTGTTACTGGCCTCACATCTTGAATATCACTTATGGATTTTTTTAAAATATTATTGCTACCTATTGATACTGACATAATGGGGCTAGATCAGGCTTTTAAAATTATAGCTGTGCCAACACAAAAGAATTGCCTCAAAAACATCTGCACAGGATAATTTGCTTTTCAATTACTCAGCAAGAGCAGTTTCAACAGTCAGAAAAACACTGATGCTTAATACGACCTACAGTGTCGTCCTATGACAGGAAGCTGAAATAAGTGTCTTGGAACACCTGTAGACTTTTAAATACATTTTTTCAGCTAGAACTTAGAAAGCATCTCTAAAGGTAGCTATAATTATATAAAGAAAAAATAAAATAATTATATGAAGACAAAATTCTTTATTTGCATTATCAGGATGACTTAGTAGCAAGCATGAGATTTACTTATTACAGAGGGCACTGCTAATACAAAAGGATTAATTTGAATTTTGCTTTTTTTTAATTCAGTAATTTTTAAGCCTCAAAATATTTAGGCCCTTCATGATTTGAAAACAAGTGTCTGTCAGTTACGTGACAAACCTCTCCTTGGGCTGAAAACATTTAAATCCAATTTCTGCATACTCAGAGTGCAGTACTAACCAGTCTAGTCACATGAAAAGATCTAATCGTCTTTTTACTTGAGCTAAAGGTGGCTTTCTTTGCAGTGCTAAAAATCAAGAGGTATGTTTTCTAAAGGCACAAGATCTGAACAGTACTCAGCAGGAGATTCCCTTTTGCTTCCCTACCTTACATAAAAGCTGACAGAGTCCATTTTAACCGCTTGCTGCTAGTGTTTTCCCTAAGTCCACTCAAATACAGCACATTCCCAACAGGATATTCACAGAGCAAATCTTAAGCTAAGGTGTTTTCCCCCGCCCAGCATGAAAGGCTTCTTGTTCTCCACCTCTGGGGACAGGGTGGCTTGGAGTGGGACTCTAGCTTAGGAAACAATTTCGTAGCTGTATCTAGAGATGACTGCGACGCAGCCATTCTCCCCGTCTTCTCCAGAGGCCTGCAGGCCTCTAGGAGGTGGCTGTAACACCAACAAGCAACACCACCTGCCTGCTTTCTGTAGACTACTCCTGGCTTCCAGTGCTCTCAGAAGGGGAAGTCAAAGCCATCTCCACTCCCTTTATACCACCAGCAGCATTGACAAAAAAGCCCGACCCTTTTGGATTAAGTACAATTAATCTTTAAGGCTTAAAAGCTTAACTATGTACTGGACAGGTGATGAGTATTGATGACTTTTTTTTCTATGAATGGTTCCTTCTGAAATGGAGATGGTGAGACTGCCACAGAGCCCGTGCATTTTACAGTTCTCCTGGATAGTTAACAATAAAAACCAAGCCAAGAACAAGCACAAGACAGATCTAAGCATTTTTTTTTTTTTTACTATGTTTTGTGTCATTAACTTTGAAGAAACCGTCGCATTGTTTACAAGTTTTAAAAAATGGGGTTTTTATACATTCCAAAATGCATTTGTGGAACTCTAGCAATCTGATACTTAAGAAAGTGTAAGAGAATTTTACATTCTTTCACATATATAGCACTGCACCACGAACAATGATAGTGACATTCATTATCTTCAAATTATTTCTTTTCATCAGCTTCCTTCTCCTCCTCCAAGTTAAAATAAATGGATTTGTCATAGCCCATGAGATGGTTATAATCCTGAGGATTCGGGAAAAGCATCGGATTAACAAGCATTGATTTCGTTTTAGCGTAAAATGTTGTAAACATCTTGGTGATGTCTGGAATCTTTACATCTTTCTGATGGAAAACAGTTGCTTTTTCTGCCAAGATTGCATTGTATGTAATGGCTGTATATGTGTCCATTTCATCTTTATAATATAGTCGAATCACATAGCCTTTTGTAAGGACATGCAACGTAACCGGCGTTACAAATGTAAAAAACCCGATCAACCCATAAAAGGCAGCTTGTATAAACAGGCTTTCAAATCCAATCCCAGTTTTGAGCATGATGTAGGGCATCATGAACAAGTTGAATATGCTGGTGGAGTAAGAGAAAAACTTCACACCTACACAAAACAAAACAAAACTGAAGGTTAATACTTAAGAGTAAAATTATCTCTATAATTACATATGTTCTGCTACTATATATTGATGGCATTACTTGAACAGCTGAAGTTACTGAAAATCCATTTTTTTTTTCTGAGCTCACAAAGAAACCATTTAAAGTTCAACCCTGTCTTCTTGCCGCTGTTCTGGTTTGTTTATATGTTCATGTTGGCTTTATCAAAGCAGGTAGCTGGCTCTATTTCTACAATGAAGTCAGCTACTAGCTATTATGCACACCTATGAAGTTTTCACTTCACAGACAGGAAACTGGTTTCAAAAGAAGCTTGACTCCAGTGATGGGATACGCATACTGGTAATCACCAGAGATATGATTGGGAATTTCTCTCTTCATCAACAACTATTGTTGATTTTCAGTGCGCATTGCAAAGCTTCCTTGGTTCCCTACCACACGTAACTTGAAAAAGCTAGATTATTCAATATTAATATTAACAAATACTCTACAGCCATCTTGTGCACAGCTTGAAAGACAACAGCCAGTGCTGTGGATCAGCCACAGACCTTAAACCACCATAAGAACCAGTGGTCTAAGATGCTGTGATAAATTTTAAGTATGTTAAGGCGTACTTCCTCCTTCTCTAAGACACATTTCAAAACCGTGCATCAGAAAACATCCGATGGATTACTGTTCACTAGGCCTTTGTAACATTAACTGGTCAAAGAAAGATCAACAAAGTCTCACTACAGACAGTTCATTTCATCATAGTATCTGTGTGCTTCAGAAACATTTCTGTAACGTTTGAAAGCATACAGCATATAAACAACAGTTACAGCTAGTCTCTGTTTGCTGCTGAGTTGGGGAGTGCATTCCAAAGGCTGCAAGAGAAGAAGCAGGCTGAGAGGTGAGAGACACACAGTACCTGCAGAACTCCCTGCAGACCTAAGCGCAGCAGCAGAAACCAAGCACCACCACCACTTTTTTTTTTTTCTGTACAGAGGATCCAGGTTTTAGCAGAGTTGAAAAGGAGAACATCCTCTTTTATAATATTGCATTTAAAAGTTATTAAACACTGTTAAATAAAAAAAAAAAAAAAAAAACAAATCTCTTTTATAATATTGCATTTAAAAGCTATTAAACACTGTTAAATAAAAAAAAAAAAAAAGCAATCCAAATCACTTCAAGTCACATACCTAACACTGCCTTTGCCAAATTGCCTTTATAAACTAATCTTCCATGTTCTGGGTGGTCATGAGGGGAGGATGTGCAGAGGCTGCGAACAGCCGCTCCTTGAAAAGATGTAACCTGAAAGATGAAAGCAGCACATGGCCAAGCAACATCAGTACCAATCTACACTTTTTGTATCTCTCTCTCTTTCTCTTTGTGTGTATATATATGTATATAAACACACACACAAAGTTTCTCCTTGCCCTAAACCTATTCCCAGCATCTTAAAATTAGGAATTAAAGTTAGGTTATACTACAAGGCACTCCACAAACAAACTCCAACTAACGTATCGCTTGACTCTTTTAATAACCTTCCATTTAGATATCCCACATTAGCATTAAATACCTGCAACCCCACTGACTAACACTAAGCTGGCCACCATTTTACAGACGGCTTTGCGGGGAGACGTTCGCAGCCCCGCACTTGCCAGCTCTCCGCTTGATCTGAGGCACGCCCTGAGGGGAACCTCCCTACCCTCCCTCGCAATTTTTGGCAAGGAAAAGGCCGCGACCCCCAGGCCTGCCGCCCTCCCCCCGGCCAGCTCCTCCGGGG